CACCGGGGCCGCCGCCTCCGCCGCGCTGCCCTTCCAGCTGGCCCCCGCCGCGCCCGCGCCGCCCCCGCCGCTGCTCGGCTTTTCCGGGGCCCTCGCCTACCCGCTGGCCGCCTTCCCGGCTGCCGCCTCCGCGCCCTTCCTGCGGGCGCAGATGCCCGGCCTGGTGTGAGCATCCCCGGCCCGCCGGGCCCACGCCCGGAGGCCAGTCCGGACTTACGGAAGCGCCCGCCGGGGGCGTGGCGGCAGCGGTGGAGCCGGGCCTTCGGTCGATCGGAGGTTAGGGGGCGCTCCGGTGGGCCCCCTGAGCCTCCGGAGCGCCGGCTGCCGCCTCCGGGCCGTGCTCTACGCCTATCCGAGGATCGGCCAGAATGTACCAGAGACGCAGGTGATTGTGGCTCCACAGACAGTCGCCAGGCTGGCTCCCCGCTGGGAAGACAGCCTCACAGACAGTCAGTCGGCCCTGCAGCCCAGGGTCCCCCCCTCCCGGGGACAGGCCTCAACCTCTGAGCAAACCCAGCTCCCGCCCCTCCGGAGTCAGCAGCTGGGCTCAGTCCGAGGCAAATCCAGGCTGTCCAAGATGCTTTGTGGAAGGGCCCACTCTTCCAGGCTCAACTACCTTTTCCCGGACTATGCACCCACGACCTGGGGAGCACTGTGATCAGCCTGATGGCCTTGACCTTGTCTCCTGGCAGAGAGAGAGATTCCCAGGGAATGAGTCCTGGTGAGGGGAAGGGATGAAGATCCTGGCAGGTGGTGCTTCAGTCAGATCAGATCGTCCATCCTGAAGGCAGGGCTCCTCTCCGGGCTGCAGTCCCTGGTTATCCCCGCGAAGACTTTTTTTTTTTTTTTTAAACGAATCTACTTATTTGCGTATGGAATAAAAAGGGACATTTTCTGGACAGTTGCTGCTGCTTTGTGATCCCTGGGGCTGAGCTCCTCTCGGGTGACGCACTGTGGTGGGCGCCATCCCCAGCCTCCCGGAGCACCTTCCGGTACTGGCCTGGGGCAGGTGGGTAGGTGGGCAGGGCAAGCCTCCACTTTCCCCGGACAGGGAGGCCCAGCGAGGCCTTAGGGGAAGTCAGGGTTGGGGAGGAGAGGGACCTAGAGTAGAAGAAGGGACGCCCCCCCCCCCCACGCAATCCCCTGTCACTCAGTTCTGGGACCTTCAGTACAACCAGAAGTCAGGAGTCGGGCGAAGGCAGAACCTAGCACTTGGCCCGGGGGGCTGCCAGCTACGTGAGCCCCTGCGCCCACAGCTCCTTCCTGCCCTGGAGCTGAGAGTCATCTCTGACACGGGGTGGGGGGGGTGCTAGGAGCAGGGTTCTCTGGCCGGGGCCTCACCCCCTGGACCATCGGCAGTCTCTCTTGAACTGAGGGACTCAGACCCTGGGCAAGGTCCGGAGTTTACGGGCTCTGAGTGAATGCTTATTGCTTAGCTTGTTGCCGTGGCTGCATCTCTGCAGCCAGTCTGTTGCAGGGTGGAGATAGTGGTCTCCTGCGTGAGGGAAAGATGCTTTATGGGGTGTGCTGCTCAAGCCTAGGGAGAGAAGCCATCTGGTTGCTTGAAAGGGTCACTCCTGAGACAGAATGGACCCCCCCCCCCCCCCCCAAACCTGTCTCCACCCCGATGGCTTCAGATCTTCGAGTGGAACAGATGCTCCCGGGCTGAGATGCGGACTGAGATGCACAGCTCACTTGGTCCCTAGGTCTGGCCCAAGGAGTTTTCAGCGGTGGCGCCAGACAGCCCAGAAGAAGGCGCCACGGGCCCCCCCCACCCCGTGGGGGAAGGAGGTCCATCTGTCTGCCCCTGCGGCCCAGCTCCCTGACCCAGAATCATCCCCTGCCCCAGCCTTCCAGTCAGTTCCCTGTGCCTTGAGGCTGGGGGCAAGCTGGGGGGGGGGGCCCTCTGGGGG